CTATAGCAAATTACGCTGTATTGATGTCCGTCTGTAGGAATACCCAGCGGGTGAAAATGCGCAAAATAAAAATGCATGAATAAGTTGGATGGGTTTTTAAAAAAAAACACCTATAAAATATAAAGCTTTTACTCTACTTAGCTCTTAATTTAGCTTGTATAGTCTCAGCCACTTTGACTCGATCAATTTCAGTATTTTCTCATTTACTACTTCTCTCGCACCCACATAAACATTCAGACACAACTCAGCGTAACTATGACTGCAGTTGCCATAACATTTGTCTGCCATGAGTTCGCTAATAATCAGACAGGAGAGGAAAAGGTTGTGGTGATCCAACTGTTGGCATTGACCACAGCTATGTGTTATGGCTGCTATGTGTCTGGCCAGAGACTGTTAGCCCACCCAAGCTAGTGTTCTGGCATTCGAAAACATACACATGTAGATAGACATGCACATATTTCGGATTGTGTTAGGGGAATTCAAACGTTGTCTGGTAATATAAGGCTTACTTTTAACACAAATAAATAGCATATGTTGCCCTGCTTTATGTTTGAACTCTTCTCACCTTTAGTTTGACATATGTTGTTAAAGTATATCCAGTATATTTGACCCTTCTCTCAGTCTGTTATTGTCAGTCAATTTATTTCAGTGGCAGAAGAGTGCAAGAGGGTTTGTACAACCATTAAATTAAGGAGGATAACATTTTGAATATGAACCTTGTCGTACAACAGAAATATGTTCTTATGAGAGATCCGTCACTTTGATTGTTAAACTGCAGCTAAGTCACATGCATAAAATATAAGGAGAGGGACAAAAAAAGCAAGCATTTGAATTGATATTGTATTTGTAATCAAAAAAGGAATATAATCTGAAAATGTTTACCAGTATAATCCACGAGATTGTTTAAATTTGGTAATAAAGAAAGAGTAAATTAAAATGTATTTTTAATGACCAGCCACCCCCAAGCATTATAGGTCATAATTTATAGTAGACATTTGTTTGTTTATGTAAAGGTATAGCTTATTTCCATCAAAATTACCTAAAATGTTTTATACCAAAAGAAAAAAAAAATGCATACTCTACAACCAACAAAAACACAGAGTTTGAGTCGAAGTCTCAGCAGAAGTTTACGTTTCACAAGTTTATGCTACTGTTGGCAAGGCATAAATGATTAGATTAGTGACTGTCCTGACAGTCAAGCAGTTAGACTGATGGTGACTGTTGGAGATTGATTTGGTTTCTCTCTAAAAAAAAAAAATCATCACAATCAGACTACATGTTTCTTTTTCCATCTTATAAGAAAATATTTTGAAAAAAAAAAAAATTAGAAGACATGTAAAATGAAGAGTTGCCAATGCAACATACTATTTTTTTTAAAGAAAACATTTTTACATTTGCTTGTATATTTTTAGACACACAAACAAATTTGCCTTACCAATTCTGTCTGCATATTTGCTCAGTTATTCATTTTGTAGAAAACTGTGCTGCGACAATGTGGTCGTTTTACAAATTTGTTGATTGGTTAAATTTTCAAGGTTAAATTATTGATAACATAATATTTTTTGTTTAATTTAGAGCAACTGAAAATCTAAGTGATTGTTGTCCCAATCAGTCTAATTCTAAGTGTTAGTTTGTTTGATGATGACTGAAAAACTGTAATGCAAGGCTGATTTTGTTATTTATTTTCTACTTTTTATGATTTGCTAACAAAAAAAGTGGATTAAGCTTGTTTCTGCAGTCCAGTATACTTTTTTCCTACTGACTGATCTGTATGAGGTGCCCCGAGGGACATAAATCAGAATTAACTTGCATATACACATATTAAATTACACTCTTCCATATAATATACTGAAAACCTCACACAAACACTAGTAAAAAGCTCTCACATAAACTAGTGAAAACATTGACCTCTTATATAATCTACTCAAAAGCTCTCATACAAAGTAGTGAGAACTGTTCATATAAACTGGTGAAAAGCTTTACCTTTCATACACACTACTGGAAAGCTTTCATATACACTATTAAAAAGCTCTCATATACACTAGAACGCTCTCATATACACTATTAGAACGCTCTCATATACACTATTAGAACGCTCTCATATACACTATTAGAACGCTCACATATACACTATTAGAAAGCTCTCATATACACTACTAGAATGCTCTCATATACACTATTAGAACGCTCTCATATACACTATTAGAAAGCTCTCATATACACTATTAGAACGCTCTCATATACACTATTAGAAAGCTCTCATATACACTACTAGAATGCTCTCATATACACTATTAGAACGCTCTCATATACACTATTAGAAAGCTCTCATATACACTATTAGAACACTCTCATATACACTATTAGAAAGCTCTCATATACACTATTAGAACGCTCTCATATACACTATTAGAACGCTCTCATATACACTATTAGAACGCTCTCATATACACTACTAGAATGCTCTCATATACACTATTAGAACGCTCTCATATACACTATTAGAAAGCTCTCATATACACTATTAGAACGCTCTCATATACACTATTAGAAAGCTCTCATATACACTATTAGAACGCTCTCATATACACTATTAGAACGCTCTCATATACACTATTAGAAAGCTCTCATATACACTATTAGAACACTCTCATATACACTATTAGAAAGCTCTCATATACACTATTAGAACGCTCTCATATACACTATTAGAACGCTCTCATATACACTACTAGAAAGCTCTCATATACACTATTAGAACGCTCTCATATACACTATTAGAAAGCTCTCATATACAGTATTAAAACGCTCTCATATACACTATTAGAAAGCTCTCATATACACTATTAGAACGCTCTCATACACACTATTAGAAAGCTAAAATATATGGTCCCCCTCCTTTAATTTAGGCAAACATTGCTCAAATATCACCGAATCCAGATGGTTTGTTGTTGATGAAGAGAGGAATAAACACAGTTTAAGATTTGCAGCTAAATTAATTTGTTTCTATATTATGGAACTGCTATCAGGCACTTCCCATCATCTTATTTTAGTAATAAAAAATTATAAATACAAATTTGGTATTTGGTGACTTGACTTTTATTTCTGTCAGGCTGAAGTGAAAAAACTTGGAAAGAGACTGATTCTCTTGGCGTTTAAAATAACAACACAAAACAGCATAAGAAAACCGCATTTATTTTTTTTATTTTACAATTTTGTAAACAACAGCGGCTGATTAAACTAAATGTCTCAACCTTGTATAATTTTACGACTTTTTATTTAACCAAGAAATGATCCGAAAGGCCTGGGAAATGATCAGATCCGCTTATGTGGCTGCAATGCGCGGCGCGCTCCTGACACAGGTGGAACAGATTTTCACATGGGAACAGAATTTCGCACAACACCAGAAAAGGATCTCTGTTGAAGCAAAAACATAAAAAATTAAGTTGAGTAATGCCCATGCTTCTGTGAGTTGTTTAGCGGATAGCTGAGCATGAATCAATAATTTTATTTGATACAATTTCGGCCGGAGATAGCACAAAATGTACGGAGCTAGCCAGAATGACCTCCGTTAAAAACAACTTCCGGTGTAATGACGGTCCTTCCTGTTTCACTGAAACACCTTCCGTTTCAACTGAAATCCGCTAATAGCTTTTCAGTAGTGTGTATGAGAGCTTTCTAGTAGCGTGTATGAGAGCTTTCTAATAGTGTATATGAGAGCGTTCTAATAGTGTATATGAGAGCGTTCTAATAGTGTTTATGAGAGCGTTCTAATAGTGTTTATGAGAGCGTTCTAATAGTGTATATGAGAGCTTTCTAATAGTGTATATGAGAGCGTTCTAATAGTGTTTATGAGAGCGTTCTAGTAGTGTATATGAGAGCTTTCTAATAGTGTATATGAGAGCGTTCTAATAGTGTATATGAGAGCTTTCTAATAGTGTTTATGAGAGCTTTCTAATAGTGTATATGAGAGCGTTCTAATAGTGTTTATGAGAGCTTTCTAATAGTGTATAAGAGAGCTTTCTAATAGTGTATATGAGAGCATTCTAATAGTGTATGAGAGCGTTCTAATAGTGTTTATGAGAGCGTTCTAATAGTGTTTATGAGAGCTTTCTAATAGTGTATAAGAGAGCGTTCTAATAGTGTATATGAGAGCATTCTAATAGTGTATGAGAGCGTTCTAATAGTGTTTATGAGAGCGTTCTAATAGTGTTTATGAGAGCGTTCTAATAGTGTATATGAGAGCGTTCTAATAGTGTTTATGAGAGCGTTCTAATAGTGTATATGAGAGCGTTCTAATAGTGTATATGAGAGCGTTCTAATAGTGTATATGAGAGCTTTCTAATAGTGTATATGAGAGCGTTCTAATAGTGTATATGAGAGCGTTCTAATAGTGTATATGACAGCTTTCTAGTAGTGTTTATGAAAGGTAAAGCTTTTCACCAGTTTATATGAACAGTTCTCACTACTTTGTATGAGAGCTTTTGAGTAGATTATATAAGAGGTCAATGTTTTCACTAGTTTATGTGAGAGCTTTTTACTAGTGTTTGTGTGAGGTTTTCAGTATATTATATGGAAGAGTGTAATTTAATATGTGTATATGCAAGTTAATTCTGATTTATGTCCCTGGGGGCACCTCATAGATCTGACTCTTGTTCAGGGCCCAGTTGTAATAAATTTATTTTACATGCATCAGCATAATCAAAATCCTTTGCATTAGATAGATAAATATTTTGATTAATCTAAATACATGGTTTGGCTCCATCTTCAAATGTCATAATGGTTTACTGGTGTTGACTACACTTTTCCTGAGATTATACAGTTTGAGGTTTCTGAAGAACTTTTATGTTCATTTCTGTACCTTGTAAAAAAAAATTATGTGAATCCTACAAATCATATGACAGCTTGGAAGAATTTTAGATTTTGATCTATTATGACAACCTAAATGTGATCTTTAATTGATTTAAAGTTTGTGCTAACTCATCTGTGTTTCTGAACAGTGAGGAGGATGAGGAAACACAATTTAACTCCCATGAAAAGGCTGTCGTCAAAACAATGATCAAAGGAACTTCCTCAAATCAAGGTAAATACCATTTGTATGTTGACAAGGTAAACTAAAAATGTATGTTTTTCCCTTTTTCTCTCATCCACAAAGCCTGTAAGTGGCAGTTGCAAATATTACCAGCTGCCATTATTGCACCCCATCAATATTTTGATTTATAGACCTGATATTAGTGTGTAATAACTGTGTTGCCCAGATACTGAATGGAATTGTGAACAATGTATTCCTTTTATCCACTAATACGATATTTTGTTTCTACTGCCAAGGCTACATGACATTTGTTAAATGGTGCATAAGTTATTGTGACAAATTTGATGGAGGTATTTCCAGTAGGGTGCGCCTATGTGGTTTTGACAAAAAGTAAGTCATGGACTTTGTATCCAAATCCAAAAACAATATAAAATCCTGAAATAGCATTAAAGTTGTAAGAGAAATTCAGCACACTTTCCTTTTTTTTTTCACAAGTAATTTGGCCTTTTGAATTTAATTAAACTGATTTGAAATGAACAAAAACATGATTTCATTTGTTCAAACAAGCACATACAAAACCTTTTGCTCTCAGTTCCAGCCCTAATGTGAAACTGCTTTACAGTTATGAAGCCAAATGTTGTTATAGCCAATTTGCAAGGGGGGAATAGCCTTACTTTCCATGGCTGAGGTTTTACATATGTTATGAAATAGGTCACTGCAGTCTTACTCGTGTTTTTCCTCTGTGGAAGGCCAGTTAAAAAGATCACATTGGCCACTGGCACCTTTCTCAGTAACACATGCAGAGGCTCTGTTTTCTCAGAAAGAAAATATTTATTTAGAGGACCTGTAGGGAGTACTTTACCTTAGTAAATACAGAATGTAGATTCCAAATATTAATTTGAAATAGGTTATCTATTTCAAATTAGATCATCTCAATGGAGGATTTCTACTCAACTCTTCTTTACAAAATTATTTGAAATTCATTCACATAAAAATCCAATTAAAGGAGACGCCTTGGGCTGCAACAAACGAATATTTCGCAAATCATTTAATCTGTCAATAATTTTTTTGATTAACTGATTAATAATCAGATAGCCACAGGTTACATAAGTGAGAATTTTTTAAAAATTAAACCAGGGGACACTTAAACTTTTCCACTTGAGGAGTTCTTGATAGAGCATATTGACAGACCAAAATTTTTTTTTTTTTTTTTTTTTACCTTAAATGCAAAAATGTAAATATATTTTTTTACAATTTTGATGTAATCACTGCTCTAATTTGGTTGCTCTCTCAGCTTAAAGCATATTTTACAGTCTCTATACTCCACGATTAATCTGATTAATTGTTTCAGCCCCAGTCATGCCACAGCTCCTCAATTAGCTTTAAAGCCTTTACTGTCTTTGTCAGCTTGCAGTTTGTTTTCCTCAGTCATGTTGGTTCATCCAGATGTTCCTTTGGTAGATATAACACAGGCCTTTGGTCCTTTTGCTCAGCTGTAGACACTGTTCTTGCTCCATCTTTTTTTTTTACGTTTGAAAAAATAGCAGCGTCAATAACTAAAGCAATTGAAGCCTACACTGCTTTATATGTTCATTTAAATTATTTTGGGACCCTTGGATGTCAATGCATTCTTGGAATAATTTGAGTAGACTGCTGTGAAGGTTTATCACTTGTATTTTTACTCCAAGTACTCTCACTCTTGATCTCTCTTACTGTTCTCTGGGATTGAAAGGCCTTAGAATTATCTTTGTTTCCTATCCGAGAGAAATGCTAATGATTTTTTCCCTTCGTTTTTATTTTCTTTATATAAGGGTATTGCTTTGATTCTTCACGTCAGGTAGTTATTAGACCTAAATGTAGTTTGTGAAGCTGAACAAAAGACAAAACAAACAAAGCCACATTTGTATTTTTGGTATAATTACCATTTTCCATAGGGCAAGGTTGTTGTTTTTTTTTAAAGTTCCCCACACAAAATTAAATTATTCTAAAAACTTTTTAATTCTCAGGTTTATTGTTTGATATATAACTTGATTAATTATGTAAAACACAAACATGTAACAGCAAAATAAAAACATAAAGTAACAGTAAGTGGTGAAATCAGAGTTTGTTTTTTTGCTCTGTATTTACAAATGTCTTCTGATTTAATATGGCAAGGCTCAGCTGAAACCTTACTCACATCTGATATTTTCCCTCCAATTTATCTGCTGCTTAAAACACACACAAACATCTCTTACTTAGTTAGAAGTAAGCCTTAAGAGGCAAAAAAAAAGGTGCTGAAATTTGCTGCTGAGGTGAAAAAATACATTTATTTAAATCATGATAAAAATCTTGGCCTTACCGAACACCATTTCACTTTTAGCCTCAACAAAAACAAATTACTAAAATTTAATATATTATGAAAGTTAAGAAAACACATTTAGTCCTCATCTTAAGAGACAAAGCTAGACACAATGGGCAGTCTTATATTCAAGGCTTAAATATAACTTTAGTTGCTTTTCAACATTACCACACATACAAATACATCTACATATGTGGGGTTAAAATGCAAGGCTTTTTGTTTAGCCAGGTGCCTGAGTTTTAGTGGAAGGAATGTCTTGGTGGTCCATGTGTGACTTTGTTTGTATTTGGTCATGTGTGCGCATGTTAATACACCTTAGGAATGTGTTAAAAGTAAAAATATTCTGTGGAATGTTTTTAAAGATAGATGCAATAAATTCATGTCTGCAGCATTAGTTGTCAGTAAGCAACATGTACCACTAATACATCTGTGTGCAGTCGGAGAAGTTTGGAATCAAATGTGACATAAAAGAGAATAGTCACGAAGCTTTAGGGGTCTTTCTTTTTTCATATTTTCGCATGTTCCTGCAGAAGCGACACTTTATTTCAATAATATTTTATGTGACAGACAAACACAAAGTATTACACTATGGAAAAGAGAGAAGGTAGGAAAATAATCCATGTTTTTCTATATATTTTTCTGAACTGAAAGTAAGAAAAGAAATGCTCAAGTCTGTATTCAGCCAACCAAAGAAACAGTTGTACTGAAATTACAACTATAAAATTTTTGAGTTATACTCCTTTCAACTTTGAAGATATAAATACAAATATGTTAACCTATTTTTCCTTTGTTTTAGTAAAATAAACTGCAGTAAAATTCAATGGAACACATCTTTGGACATCTATTTCTTAAGTCTGGCCATTGATTCTCAATAGAATTCACACCAGGCCTGTAACTTGGCCATGCTAACACATATACACTCACTGGCCACTTTATTAGGTACCCCATGCTAGTAACGGGTTGGACCCCCTTTTGCCTTCAGAACTGCCCCAATTCTTCGTGGCATAGATTCAACAAGGTGCTGGAAGCATTCCTCAGGGAGTTTGGTCCATATTGACATGATGGCATCACACAGTTGCCGCAGATTTGTCGGCTGCACATCCATGATGCGAATCTCCTGTTCCACCACATCCCAAAGATGCTCTATTGGATTGAGATCTGGTGACTGTGGAGGCCATTTGAGTACAGTGAACTCATTGTCATGTTCAAGAAACCAGTCTGAGATGATTCCAGCTTTATGACATGGCGCATTATCCTGCTGAAAGTAGCCATCAGAAGTTGGGTACATTGTGGTCATAAAGGGGTGGACATGGTCAGCAACAATACTCAGGTATGCTGTGGCGTTGTATCGATGCTCAATTGGTACCAAGGGGCCCAAAGAGTGCCAAGAAAATATTCCCCACACCATGACACCACCACCAGCCTGAACCGTTGATACAAGGCAGGATGGATCCATGCTTTCATGTTGTAGACGCCAAATTCTGACCCTACCATCCGAATGTCGCAGCAGAAATCGAGACTCATCAGAGCAGGCAACGTTTTTCCAATCTTCTATTGTCCAATTTCGATGAGCTTGTGCAAATTGTAGCCTCAGTTTCCTGTTCTTAGCTGAAAGGAGTGGCACCCGGTGTGGTCTTCTGCTGCTGTAGCCCATCTGCCTCAAAGTTCGACGTACTGTGCGTTTAGAGATGCTCTTCTGCCCACCTTGGTTGTAAAGGGTGGTTATTTGAGTCACTGTTGCCCTTCTATCAGCTCGAACCAGTCTGGCCATTCTCCTCTGACCTCTGGCATCAACACGGCATTTCCGCCCACAGAACTGCCACTCACTGGATGTTTTTTCTTTTTCGGACCATTCTCTTTAAACCCTAGAGATGGTTGTGCGTGAAAATCCCAGTAGATCAGCAGTTTCTGAAATACTCAGACCAGCCCTTCTGGCACCAACAATCATGCCACGTTCAAAGTCACTCACATCACGTTTCTTCCCCATACTGATGCTCGGTTTGAACTGCAGGAGATTGTCTTTACCATGTCTACATGCCTAAATGCACTGAGTTGCCGCCATGTGATTGGCCGGTGAGTGTATATCATCTGATCTGAATTATTTTAATTTTGGATCTGCCAGTATATTCAGAGTATCTGTCCTGTAGTCATTTGTAACATCTAACAGCCTCTAACTTATTTTTACTTTACCTGTAATTTTATTTTGACTTTACAGTTATGCAATACTTGGTCTTGGTCTGTTACATAAAAGCCAAATAAAACACATTTAAATTTATAGCTTCTATGTGAGAAGCTTAAAGTGCCTGACTGCTTAAGCAGGGCATTCTATATGTAGCAACATCTATTTTTCTGTCCTTCTACTCCTGTAGGTCAAGGGGCTCAGAGTGGTTTGATTACCCCATCTTTTGGAATGAAGGGTAACGGCAGTGCCAGTGTCCTCACCGGTCCTGTTCCAGCAAGACCAGTGCCTCAACCCCACCCTAAAGATGAGGACACCCTGGTCCAGATGGCAGAGCATATTCCTGCTGGGATGCGAACCCCTATGTGTGCCCACTGCAACATGGTGATCAGGTTAGGAACTATTGTTGTAACTAATACTGCAGCTAGGTTTAAAGGTATTATAAAAAGTTGAATGTTCTGTTCTTAAGTTAAATTGCTATCATATTTGTGTTGACTTATGTGAAGATAAATTTCACAAGAAAGACAGCTGGAATAACAGAACCATTTTTATTTTAATTTTAAATTTTTTTTGAAGCAATAAATAAAACCAGTAAATTTGCTCATTAAGTTAAAAAGAAAATGGTTTAATTTTTAGCTAGTTGTCTTATTTTATATGGCATAAAGATATCCAAGTAGCTGTTTTAAAACATGTTCAGAGGGTTTCAGGAATCTCATATGTTTGTTTCAGCTTGTTTGCCCCTTACCATATGTACTCAGTACAGTCTCCATGCCAATGTTCCTACTTGATGAAACAGAAAATCCACTCGCTCAATAAAATGTTTTATATTCAGTGTCTTTGGCAGCGACTGAGGAGAAGTAATATATGTTCCAGTTTACAAATGTGCAATCTAGTTTATCTAATTATATCATAAATGGCCAAAAATGAAAGTTTTAAAAGTGTCAAAGATTTTTGTCAATCCCTGCTGAAAATTTACACTGCTGATATTTGGAAAAAACAAACAAACAAAAGAACAAAAAAATGTGACACTGTCAGCATAAATAATGAGTTTGTTAGATAATTAGTTTTAGTTTTGTGTTCTGTTTTTACAATAATGATTAAAACGAAGGTGATGTTGGCAAACACAAGATAAATCACTTAGTTGGCAGGAAGGTCACTCTTGAATTAGGCTACTTAATATTTAAGTTATGATAATTGATGTGAGACCCTCTTGAGTAAACAATCCTTGGATAAAACGGAATAAATCTTCAAAAATGTTGCACAAAAAGAGTAAGAAATATCAAAACTCTTTCTAGAGTATTTTAGTTGAAAGGAAGAAGCAACCTTAAGGTTATGTTTCCTCTATGGCACAACATAATAAGCTAGTTCTTCACTGTCCCTCTTGTATACATTCTGTCTTATCCGGTAGCTGACCAGCCTGACCTGAATTTTATCTGTGATGGTGTCACCCGAAACTGCTTGGTACTGAAAAGATCAGGTTGCCCACATGCTGACAGCTGTGCTGCTGTCAGACAAGGCTTGAATAAGCACACCTATTGTTCTCAGTGAATTAAGCTACCTTGTTTTCTCACTTTATTTAATCACCAGAGTGAACAAGGCCAAGGTACTGTCTTAGCTGCAGTCGTTCACAGGTTACGTCTATATTTCTAAAGTATATTCTTTTAGCTGTTATAGAGAGAACTGTATCAATTTATCAGTTAGCTAATATACCAAAGCTTTAGCAATCAAAATGCTGTATCCATGCATTACAGCATATTTATTGGCACCGCATGTTAGGATGTTTAAAAAAAAACTAAAAAAAACATTTTGTTTCTATCATTACCAATAACAGGAGAGAGCATATGTGTTTGCAACAGTTGAATTGTGTCTGTCATTGCATACATACAACCAAAGGTGTATAGAATATCTAAAGAGCAATAAGTTTCAACCATTGCCTTTTACAGCTCCACAACTCAGACTAGGCAGGGCTTTAACTTTCTGGATCTGGATTATGGTGACCAGATTTCTTAAATAAAATCTGGGGATATTTCAAGCTGGTAGATAAAAAAGAAATTCAACTTGTTATGATGAAATTAGAAAAATGGGACAGTAATGGTTTAATTTATTTTCACATTTTTATTAATATTTAAACAACAAAAATCAAGTGTAAAAGCCAGGAATGATTCTCCGCTGTTTTTCTTAAGATTAATAAATATATAAATCTTTATTGATATTTTTAGAAAACTAGCACTGTGTCTCTAGGTTGGGGGAAAACAAATGTGGGTAGCAATGGAGGGGGCAAGGGTGGTTGGCGGGGCTTATGATTTTGTGGGGCCAAAACATCTCTGTTGCCCAAAAGAAGAGAGTAACAAGAGGAAAAGAAAAATCAGAAAAGTAAATACAAACAGTTACCCAACATATACCCTATTCCTGTGGCTACCTGTGGAGACAGAGCTCCCCCACTTTTTCTAAAAAGTGCAACAACGTCTCATTCTGTTCACATCTGCACAGCAATGAGAATAGTTTTTTTTGTGTTAACATGGATCAAAAATCAGTAGCTCCTAGTAGTTACTCCTGTTGATTTTAAAGTTAGATCAGGTACTGTATGTAGCAGAATTGAATGCTTCTTCATTATCTCTCCTTGCTTTATTTCAGAGGACCTTTTTTGGTGGCAATGGGAAAATCCTGGCACAAGGAGGAATTCAACTGTGTCCACTGCTGTACATCTTTGGCAGATATAGGCTTTGTGGAAGAAAAGGGATCCGTGTATTGTGAACACTGCTATGAGGAGTTCTTTGCACCAACCTGCAGTCGCTGCCATGCCAAGATATTGGGGGTAAGAGGGTGTATCTACAGCTAAAAACAAGACTTGATAGTATTTACTATCAGTAAATGAGCACTGCAAAAAAGAACATCTAAATTGCAGAAACTGACTAAATGTGACAACTAAATGCGGTTCCTGTTAATCTGTTTTCAACAATGAATGTTCCATTATTAAAGTTTTTGTTTCAGTTTAATTTCTTATTGGGATAAAAGCAGAAAATGGATGGGTGCTTATTAACTAGCCTGCTGATTTTTATACAAAGATTCTCTACCAGTCTTTACTAAAATGACTTTGTATGTAAATATTGTCACATACTTAATGTAAATGTAAAAATACCTCCTCATTTGAAATGTCATCTACGAAAGGATATGTTATATGCTGAAACCTTTATGTTGGTATATCTCTGCCTTCCATAATTGAAGCTAGGGAATGCAGTGTAGGAGAATTAGATTCAGAGGCCTTAGAGACTGCAAGTGTGGTTTGAACCCAAAGTGCCAAGAAGCTGAAATCACATTTTCAGAGTAGCGCTGACATTTATCCCTCACATGTTCTAACCTCTGTAGCCTCAATCCTTTCAACCCACTATTTCTCACACATCTTCAACCGGCTTATGGCTTCCTATTAACCTGTTTTTCTCACTCCTGTTCTCCTAATCCTTAATTTTACCCCGCCCCCGACTTACTTGCTCTAATAGTTTACGGGTGGGGAAACAATTAGAAAGTCTATCTTTAGTATGGTCATGAGACCCCTGAAAAATAATTTACACCTTCATTTACACAATTGATTCCTTTCTATTACTCTTGAGAAAGTGAGATTATCTCTGTAGCATTTGTGTCAATACAAATCCGCTAAGACATCTCTATTACACCTTGAACTCCAAAAAATGTTTTATATTCTATTTTCAGGAGGTGATCAATGCTCTGAAGCAAACATGGCATGTCTATTGCTTCATGTGTGCTGCCTGTCAGCAGCCAATCAGAAACAACACCTTTCACCTGGAGGAGGGAGAACCCTACTGTGAGCAAGGTCAGTTGACAGGGTGAAATGTCAATATTTGTGCCTTGTTTTAGGAAATTTCACCCATGTGGAATATTGTTAGTTATTATTATTATTATAAGACTCTTTGCAGTAGTCTACTGTATTTGTATAGCACTGATATTTTAGTAAAACTATTATTTGAAAAGAAATCTATTAAAGAAAACTATTTTAAAAAAGAGTCTAATGTACAGAGGAGAAAATACTGTACAGCTAACAACTGCATACTCAAATCAAATGCTGTAAAATGCATTAAAATAAATCAAGCAATGCAAATGTAACATAAAAAAACAACAGCAGACTATAATAATGAAGGAATCAGGGGATTTTAATGATTTTTTTAAATCAACAATTTCCCTGATATTTAGTGCAGCAAGAAGGTCCTATGTTCGATTCACAGCCTAGGGTCTTTCTGAAAGGAATTAGCATATTCTGTCACAGTCCAAAAGCATAATTGTTAAGTTAATTGGCATCACCAAAATTGATCTACAGTAGAAGTGAGTATGTGTTTACATGGTTCTATGTCTATATACTAGATACTAGTACAGGTTGCCAGTCCACTAATATGGACTGGCAACCTGTGTACTCCGCTTTATGGGAGTAGACTACCGGAGTTTGACAGAAGATAGATGAAAGGATGGATGTTTTGTTGACCCTGACCATTTCTCCTATGTTCGCACAAAGGCATCTCCATCCATCAAAAAGAACAACCAGAACGTTAAATTTATTCTGAAGGAAAGCTCAACTTTGGTCTCATCAAATCAAGACAACTTCTCAATGTTTGCTGTGTCCTTTACAGGATTTTTATTCAGAGCCTCGTATTTTTTTTACAACTGGCTTTGTTCTTTACACTTTCACAGCCCTATTTACAGGGAACATGACCGATACCTATCCCATAAACAGATTGCTCCACCCAAGTACCTCTTTGCACCTTTTGCCTACTTTTTAAATATTGTAAAGCCAAAGGATGTTTAAAAATGTGCAATGTACCATATGTTGTCAGTATCACACTTCTATTTTCATCATTCTTTTTAAGTAAATACAGTATAATTACAAATATTAAAGACTGCTATTATTTTGTATTTGAGCACGATTATCATATTAAGACAGCATGGTATACATTTCATATGTTGACTTCTTAACTTAAGGTGTTAAAATTAGTCTCAATGATTAATTCATTTTTGAAGTGTTTTGGCTGCAAAGAAGCTAACATTACTCACTTGGAAATGCCTGTAAGTAACATAATAACTGGTTTATAACCTGTTCAAAGCATTACCTAGCTTATTTATTTGAAATCTCACAGAGCTACTAAGAGGAAAGTGGTTAGAGGACAATTAAATCAAATGACATTGTAGACATACTAGTAAAAATGTATTACAATTCAGTATCAGTTTAATACCTATTTGAAGTTATTTTGGTACCTTAAAAGCATTAAAAGTTTGTGTCAAACTGTGAACAACTTAGATACTGAAATGAGTCTGTTGCCGCATCAAAGCTAACATCACTAAGAGTGTGGGTTGTTTGATATAATAAGCTCTAAATACCACTTAGGGGAAGAATTAGGTGGTGTGTGGGTTATATGCGTTCTATGTTTAGTACCTTTCTGATGTAAGACACAGTTGCTAACTACCTGTAGGCATCTGAGGGGTAATAGATGACTGAACAGTCCACTGATTGGACACACTCACTAACCAAATTATGCTGGGAGATGTTTTATCCTCCTACAGTGGAAAAAATAAACTGTCATATAAAGAAAAGTACTATAAGCCCTCTTTTTTTAAGGAATAGTTGGATTTGAATTAGAAAAAGGCACTGTTTTGCGGCTTTTATACGGTTGCTTTAAAAATCTGTGAGAATACTATTATAGTTTAATCTGACTGTCAGTAACACACTTAAAAACCAGGATGCTTCTAAAATTTGGTATCTGTCATTCTTTATTTTAAAAACAGACTTTTACAGCTTGTTTGGTACTGGTTGCCATGGCTGTGAGTTCCCCATTGAGGCTGGGGACAAATTTCTGGAGGCCCTTGGTTACACCTGGCATGATACCTGCTTTGTGTGTGCTGTAAGTGAGAATGTTACACACTTGCGCATTACATTTAGCACATGTCAGACTTAAAGTATGTAATGAAGAATCATAATCATATTGCTACATTTGAGTAATGGGCTCTATGCAAAACTCCACTACTTCCTTAATTACTAATTACTTCCTTACTTAAGGCAGCTCTTTGTTTCCTGTCTTCCACTGGTGGATGAATTGATTAATCCAGGTGTCCCTGACCTCAGTAACCATGACCAGACTCATCTGGTTTAATCTGTTCATCCAGTAATAAAAGACAGGAAACAAAAGAGCTGCCTTTACTTTAGTTCAGGAAGAAGTGAAGCTGGGAATGGAGCCCATCAAGTCAGAGCTAATAATTTTTTTTTTTTTACATTATTGTGTATTTTATGTTATTCTGCTTTAATATATTTATTTTGATTTCTTTACAGGTTTGCTGCACGTCTCTGGAAGGACAGACCTTTTTTTCCAGAAAGGATAAACCTCTTTGCAAGAAGCATGTACACACAGTGAAGATTTGAACCACCAAATCTTGAATATTTGCTGTCACTTGTCTGAGGATGAAAGAATACTGACCTCCAGGCTGGTGGTCCCTCTTCTCAGAGGATAATTCAGTGCTTATATTTAAAAGTTAAATGAGGAAATAACCAAATAGTTTAACTTTATTTTATTCCTTAAATACATTCATTGCACTTACAAACACAAGACATTGCACTTTTTGTTTGTTAATTTTGTAACACCAGTTATTACAATTTTCTTACACAGAAATATAGAGTTTGATTAATTACATAATCCTTATTTTAATTAAAAATTTTCTCTGTATGCTTAGAATATAATCTGCACCAATCATTACCCATCACATATTGTTATTGTTAAAAAATTAAAAATAAAATTGCAGCATGTTCATATCCAGACATAAAATGTTTCCTAATATTTTCATAGATCATTAGAAACCTGTCTGAATTTTTCATTCTTTTATTTATCTATATGAAAAATAATAGTATAATAGTAGCAGTAATACCATTCAAATTACAAGCATAATTCAAAACATTGAATTTTGCATTTAAGGAACTAAAATTAGATGACTTAGTTTTAATTGGGGTTTGAACTATTCATCTAAGATAGTTATTGGATTTCTCTTTGTATAGTATATTCTGGTGTTTGCAAAAACTCTGATATTTCTAAAGAGAAAGGAAAGGAGATAATAGCGTAAAGTTTTAGATTTTTTTTTTTTTTTCCGGAGGGCAAACCTATTTTCAATTTCACCTAAAACTTATAACACAGACATATTTTGCTGCATTTTTTCCCCCAGATTCAACAGTTGAAATGTACATTTACGTTAGCTGTACATACATTTTCTCCTAGAGGACAGTATTTTTATGTTTTTGTTTTGTTTCATTTTTCTTGTTTTTATTGTTTGTTTTGTTTCGGGGGTGTTTGTGGCAACTTTGTAGTTATTTGTATTCTTCTTCGGAATTATTGTTGTATTACGATGCAAATTAGTAAAAAGGCCATTTTATATCATCATGGAACCTAAAGAGACGTATAGTGTGTGTACAATGGTAACAAAAATAATTTACATTTACTTTTTTTTTATCATTTATTAAGATATGCTTATAAGATAAGATAAATGTGTCTGTATTATTTCATAAATTATGTTTTTCAACTCTCCAGTTGGAAGTGTTTTGTGTTTCTTAGTATTTGCTCATAATATTGACTCATGATTTTTTCATCTTATATTATCGAGTCAAACTAGTTTTGTTGTTTAAAAAAACAAAAAAACAAATAAAACCTTATACTGTTGATAGCTTTTTAATGTCTCAGCTCAGCTCCAATTATGTTAACGGGGCATTCTCCATCAGCTTCCCTGCTTAATCCTCCCACAGCTGCTCTAAATCTCCTCTGATTCAATCATCTGGTTTAGTTGTCATCATTCACCCCTCCTTTAAAAATTCAAGCTCTTAACTACTCATATTCTGTGCTAGATTATTCTATTACCATCCTTATTAATGCTGGTTATTCTCCTGGTGCACCATTGGCCTGATTATCCTGCATTTTCTCATTTAATTTTCTCTGATTTTTTTAGTATTAGAAGCTATGATGTTGCTTAAGCTATGAAACTGTGTCTTTTCCAACACGAACAATGGCAGTTAAATCCTGATAAATATTTCACAAAGGTGTCTCTGTCACAATCTGCCCTGATAGCTCACCTTAATTGTTCACATTATTCACCTACTTAATTTTGCCCGGTTCCTGATTACTCCTTATCCTATCCACCTGGGTTTCTGCTTTATATTCGGCTCAGTCTGAGTTATCTGGGTCAGATCATCATTGCTCTTATGCTTATCTCTTAAGCTTATCTGTTTCGTTAGTTTTTAGTTAGTTCCAAGGTGTCCTTGTTCATGGCAGCCAGAAGATTGAGAGGGTTTTCTTGTCTGTCTTGTCTTCTGATCGTGTTCTGGTCCTTCTCCGTGGGGCCCTCAGACTTTTGGCTCGGAATGCGGAGAAGGTCAATTTTTTTCCTGTAAGCCTGGCTCCAAGGATTAGACCAGTTTAAAGTTTCCTGCAATAATCCCAGTAGCATGTCTTCTCTCTGTCCCTCAACCACTAAGCCGGCCTGTCGGCATCCTATCCTGCCTGCCTGCATCTGTGCGTATCTGTTGGGGCATGCCTTCTGGACCTGTTCTGACCCTGAACCTACCTAAACGCTTGAGGATTCCTGGAACCCAGGATCTGTCTGTTCCTCGGCAGACTACGGAACCCTGGATCTCGGAACTATTCATGCCTGATCGATTTTCCCCCTGACCTGGATCGGCTGCCTACATGTTCTCCAGGGCTGCAGCATCGGGGACACTCTGGGCGTCTCAGGGCCGCATCTCGTTTGCAGTGTATCGGTTGATCCTGCCTATAATTGAGACATTGGACTGAACCTTTGAACCGGGTGGGTCACTCGCTTGGATGGTCATCTCCTGTCGGATGGTCGTGGTCACTTGCCTGTGTTTCTCCCTAAAGAGTGTCGGTGGTTGGGCAGTGGCCTGCCCCCCTCCTGGAGTCCCTGCAGGCCCGCAGATCCACATCAGCGCTTCTGTTCTGTCCGTTTATGTTTTTGTTTTAATAAACGTTTTGAACTTTCCTACTGACTGTCTCACCTTGAGTATTGGGTCCATCTGTCCCGTTTACAGGCTGAGTCTACCAGACTATCAGGTGTGAAAACAACCTAAATCTACAATGAAAACATTTCACTAAAATGTTGCAAGCTTTAGTGGACCAAAGAAAAAATCAGATAACTTAATTCTAACATTATACAATAAATAGAATATCTACTTTTATATATGCCACCATCACACCCAATTGATATAAAATTATTATAAAATGCAATAAATAAATCCATCCATCCATCTTCTTCTGCATATCCAGGGTCAGGTCGTGGGGGTAGCAGCTACAGTAGGGAGTCCCAGACGTCCCTCTCCCCAGCCACTTGGGCCAGCTCCTCCAGGGGAATCCCAAGGCGCTCCCAGGACAGCCGAGAAACATAGTCCCTCCAGCGTGTCCTGGGTCTCCTCCCGGCGGGACGTGCCTGGAACACCTCACCAGGGAGACGTCCGGGAGGCATCCTAATCAGATGCCCGAGCCACCTCAACTGGCTCCTCTCGATGTGGAGGAGCAGCGGCTCTACTCGGAGTCCTCCCTAGATGACAGAGCCTCACCTTATCTCTAAGGGAGAGCCCAGACACACTACGGAGAAAACTCATTTCAGCCGCAGTATCTGGGATCTCGTTCTTTTGGTCATGACCCAAAGCTCATGACCATAGATAAGGGTATAAATATAAATAAAAAATTCTTAAATATGCAAATTCAATGCTGCAATTTAGTAATAAAATGTCTTATTGAATACATTTATTCATTTTAAAGAAATATACACATTTAGACAATGTTTATAAATATACAGAAAAATAAAGAAATACACTTCAATATAGTTGCCAGCTATAAAAGTTTTCCAACCCCTGGAAATGTTATTTTGTGCTGTCAGTTGCTGATTTTTTTGCAAACCCAGCTTGTGAGTTGAATGAGTTGTGGAAATGGTGGTGGGTGGGAAGTGGGGGGGCTGATGAGACAGCCCATGTGTCCGTCTCTCGCTTTTCTGCCCCTGATCGAAAGTGAAGCAGTCTGAGAAAAGTGCTGCAACTTTGGTTTGGATCAGAAAGAGCCACGCAGCAACTCACACACTGGTATCAAACAAGAAGCTAGAGAAGCAAACAAAGGTGAGTAAACTAAAGCAGGAGATTTACAGCAGCGGGGGTTTCTCTCATTGGTTCGTTTTTCATGCGCGATGATTGAGAGTCGCAGATTAAAGTTTGACAGGCTCAACTTTTTTTTTTTCTTTTTTGAAGGGTGTTGACAGTCTACGCGTGAGGCGGACTTCTTTGCTTAAGATTTAGATTTATACCTTTCTTAAATAACTGAGTAACAGTTAAAGCGAGTTTTTGCACACGTTAACAGTGATCCCACAATTCTCGCCTCACTGTTGTGTGATTTATAAGGACTTTTTCCACAAAAGAAATAACAAATAACTTAGAAGCAGGGTTGCAGTCATTATGTTCTTCCCTCTTTTGTAAAACAAACTTTATCCTCCTCTATGAGTGTTTTGCAACATATTCCTATCGCCTGATTATTGCATGTCAGAGTCCTTTTAATCTCTGAAGATTATTTGTACAGTCCAAGAAAATGGTATGCATAATGTGTGTATGCTCGTTCCTTTTATTTCAGATTTGCAGATTTGAACAACAGCCTGTAGCAATGAACAACCTACAGCCCAGTATTCCCCACGCACCACACTTATATTCACAGGCATGCACACATTCAGCTCTCCCTCTGAGTCCTGTAACCAGTTCCAGGTGTTTCTCAGTGTGGGTTATGGCAAAAGTATATGTACATATGTGTGCGTATGAGCAACCCTGTGAGTGTCTATCCAGATGGCACAATACCTTGGCTCCTGAACTTACCCCACCTCATCTGTGGGGGGTGCAGAGGTCAGTAGGGGACCCTGCAGGAAAACACTCAGCAAATGTGAGTGAGAAAGACTGAGGTCCAGACATGTATTTGTGTGTAGACAGGAGGGGGTGTGGGGGTATAAGGATTTTTCTCATCTTTCAGTTTGAAAGTGTTTGTAGTTGTTAGGACTTCAGTCTTATTCAGGTTAGAAACCTTTAATGCAAATCTAAATCAAAGAAAAAAAAAAACTCTGCCAAAACCTCGATTAAGTCTCAGTTTGTTACTGCAAAAAAACAAAACAAAAAAAAATATATTAAAGGTATTGTGGAGGATCTTTACAAATTTTTGAAAAGACCCGCCTACTCCAATAAATAAAAAAATGCACATGCACAACCCTGTACCCACTCCTGAGAGGAAACGCCTATTAAATGCATGTGAGAGAATGCAGGAGCCAATTTCTCCTTGTGCACGCTGTTTAAAAGTTGCTATTTGCATCGCTCATTCAAGCTTAGGCTACTTTCCAAAAGAAGGTTTGCAATTTTTCCACTATGTCAGTCTCACCACTGGTAAGTGAAAATAAGGACGAGTGCGTGAGAATGATTGACAATTAGGAGAATCACTTATGGTCCACCTGGAAAAAGAACATCCTCCATTATACCATTAACTAAAACAGAAATACAAACTGGCGCAGACTGATGAAAAATCACATAACATTGTTGGACCTTAACTGCCTCACTAAAAAGAGCAAATCTATTTGATAGATGCTTAAAATTTGCCTGTCTGGAAAGAAGTTTAATGAGAAAAAACTTTAAAAAAAAAAAACTGACAGGGAAAATGTTCATTAATAAGACCAAGTCAGGGAAAATTCATTTTAAATAAGATTAATTCAGAATGAGATCAGTTTCTAAGTAAAGGGACAACAATTAGCTAAACATTTTCCTGTAGGAAACATAAGCACCATCTGGTTTGAAAAAGCTGTTATTTCAGAACTGCTATTTCAGAAGTTTTTTTTGTCAATTTGTTCCAATGTTTTGAAGAGATTTAATTTTTCATGAAACACAATCAGAATCAGACATACTTTAATAATCCCAGAGGGAAATGACAAGAAAAAAAGCCCATAGATTTGTGCAGAATTAATTGAACATATGCTGCACTGTCCCCATGCCACCTTTTTAATGCTCATTTTACTAAACCGCAGACTGCTTCTAGTAATATAGCACTTTTTTAAAACATCAGCTGGGAAGCTATAGGCAGAGCGTCTCTTTAACAGCAAACTGCTGGCTCAATACCAGAGCTGATAGCCTAACTAGCTACTACCTAATATCAGTTTGTTAGACTCCCAATGTTACTCTACTTAATAAGAATCTTTACTCAAAACTAATACTTAATTAAGATGTTTTCAACCCTTTTTTGATAAGTCCATTTTAAAGTAATAATGAATAAAAAACATTTATATCAAATACCATAACAGTGTAACTATAGTTCAATGTATTTTCCTTCTGTTTTTAGCCTTAGTATGAGAACAGTGGAAAATAACAAGAAAAATAAGTTGGACTGCAGGATAATGGGAGTTTTAAAACTCTTCAGGTGAACTTGAGAACAATTTGCTGGTTTTAAACCTTCCTTAGATCAATTTCCTCTACTTGAACTAAGAGGTGATAAGGATCAAAAACAAACTAAGATAAAGACCTCCAGGCACAGGCTGTCCTTTTGAAGATCTTACTCATTTTTAATTACTGTGTCAGGGTGATTTATTGAAATGTTCCAAGAATCTTCTTTACCTGAGAACCTAAATTAATCTTTCACAGTCTGTGTTTTCTGCAGAGTGAAAAAAATCCTTAAAGCTTAATATTCTGAAATGATAAATCTCTCAAAATGACCTGTAGTTGGCATGGATCCAGTTTGTCAGGAGGTTCCTGACTAAAGGTAGAAACAACCACAGAAAAGTTGTGTTAATTGTCATTGTGGGTATGTAGGAGGTTTGAAGTTTACTTATGCAGCTAATCCCTTATGGAAACAAACCTAATCCCACTTTATCACATCTTGAATAATGTGGATTTATTGTTAGTTGAAAACTATAAATGAATGTGCCTTAAGTAGTAGACTGCCACTCAGCCTTGATACAGTTTACAGTTGATCACACCTTTGCACTAATGAAAAAATTATCCTAAGCATGTCATTGAACTTTTTTTTTTAGTATTTAAGTGGTGATATGAGATACTTTGCTCTATTCAAGCATCTTCTGTAATACATATTTTATGGAGAGGATTGTATACAATAATTATAAGTGGGCTTAAGTGGATTAATATGGATAGTTAGTAATGGCTTATTTTGAAGCAAGCATCTGTTTTAAATATTTTATTTTTGGTAATGTAAGAAAAATAGAAAATGTGCACCTTTAACTACTGTTTATGTTTGATTGTGTTGTTACTTTTTTTCCACTGAAGCAGAGAGGGATTGAGACATGTTGATGCTTAAGTCTCTAGTTGGAAATTGATAGATTTTTTTGTGCCTTTATGTTTTCTTCTGACTAAAGTTTTCAAATTATGTGCAAACACACCTTACTGCTTTTCTGTGCGAAGTCAAGGCTGCACACCAGAGTATCCAGCTTAAGAAAAGTTGCAATTGTAGATGAAATATTTTTGGTTTGGAGAAAATTTTTTTTTTGTGATAAATTTACCTTTAAATTTGCATGCCTTCCATCAACACTGTAAAACATTGAATAGAAGTGTGTAGATTTCTCCTGAAATAAGTGAATTTTGTCTTGTTTTAAGCACATAGGTAAGACAATTTTCCAAAAAATAAGATGATTTACATTCAAAATAATAATACAATTTCTGATTTCAATTGCATATTATCTAATTTTTCTAATTTAAGGGCAGAAAGAGTCTTTCCACTGGAACTTTATATTTATCTGCTCCAATTACGCCACACTTATTTTAAGGAAGTTTACATATTTTAGATCACTGTTTGCAGTAAATGGTAGGCTGAGAATTTACTTTATAAAGAGGAACGGTATGTTATGAGAAATGAGAGGGAACAGCTGATGTGAATCAGAGAAACCCCACATACAATACTATGATAAAATGCAATTACAAACTTTATAACAATACTCCAGTTATGAAGGCTGGTTATCATGATAAAT